TGCTTTTTAGCTCAGGCTCAGTCAGTTAGGAATGTACTGAGGGAGCACGTTTCATTTGTAGCAGCAGATGAAAACACAGGACTCTAAAGGAGCAATCCTCAGAGAGGAGCCATTCCAGGATTGTTTCTTGAGAAGAGAGTGTCAACCCCAGGCTTTTCTGATGTTTAAGTTCAGTGCCATTACCAGCCCCCGAAAGGTCTAGCAGCTGAGGACATCACTAGAGAATCATCGGCCAGCTAAGGTCCAGGTGAGTTAAAAGTTTACGCAGGGGAATCACGACGGCGCGCTGTGGGGCATCAACCCTTTTCATGTGAGACCCAGTTACCTGTTTTGATCTCTCTTGACTTGTCAAAGTGCCTAGTGGGACCTGAGATTGTCTCAGGCTAGCCTTGCCCGTGGCTGCTGGGGCAGCAGTAGAACTTGGGGACACTCCTTCTCTGGGGTCTTCACTTGACTCAGTGGACTTCGCCTCCCCTCCCTAGGCTTGAGTAAAAGCGAGGGCCTATCTCTAATCACTCTCTGCATCTGTCCCTTCTGCCTCAGGCTTTGACCCTGGCTCGGACAAGGTTACTGCCCTCAGTACCTAAGAGGCCATGCCTCTTTCTTGTGAACCGTTGATTTACATAGACAGCCATCTCCCAGCTAGCTGCCTCCTGTGTAAGGGCACCCGCCTCCACGCTGCATGGATGAACTGCCACATCCAGCAATAAATGGCAGGATGCCCCACTCAATTCAAATTTAGGAATCTTAAAAGAGTGCTAGGCTGCCCCCAAATATCGCACAACACAGGCGCATACTGAAACACTTGTCTGACATTCCAGTTTACCCAAGGATCGTGGCCTACACCTTCACCTTTGGGCTCCCCAGGGTCCTTTCCAGGCCAGCTCCAGCACTGCAGGCACCAGCCCATCCTGGGGTGTAGCCTGAGGCTCTTGTTTTGTTTTGTTTTTGAAGCAGGGTTTTTCTGTGTAGCCCTGGCTGTCCTGGAAGTTGCTCTGTAGACCAGGCTGGCCTCAAGCTCACAGAGACCTGCCTGCCTCTGCCTCCCTTTAATCTGCTGGGACTAACGGTGTGCACTGCCCAGCACCCGTGGCTTTTATAAGACAGGGCTCAGACAGCGCAAATTTCCCTCCTGCTCCCATTGTTCCCCAAGTGCATGGGATCTGACCCTCTGAAAGCATCGCCTGAGAGGCTCAGCACGCTCTAGCTTCACGCCAGTCAACATGGCCTCCAGGACTGGGTTCTCTGCACAGCGCTCCTGTGCTCAAGCTCCTCAGAACTCCACCAACCGCTGAGCTCACCAGCTCACCAGCTCTCCTCTTCACAGCCCGCTACACACACTGCGCTTAGTCACGCTTGGGGTCTACAGACATTGGTTTTAGGAACTTGCTGACACTCAGCTTCACAGATACACTAGCCCCTCGTGGAAAATGGAATGGTGTTTACACACGAAGCACAAATCTGGCCATCTACTGTCTTAAAAATCTCGAAGTGGCTTAGAGCACACAACGCAATATAAATGCCAGGGGAATAGTTGTTATACTATATGTTTCCAGTCTGGACTTTAGTTACAGTGGCGTGCGTGAACACGCACTGGTGTGCACACAGGTCTGTGGAGGTCAGAGGACAACCTTAGGCGTTGGTATTTACCAGCTTCCTGGATTGAAGCAGGGTCAAATGCTGCTTTTCTGCTGCATCCACCAGACTAGCATGCCGGAGAGCTTTCAGACCCCCTTGTCTCTCTTCCCATCTCCCCTTAGGAGCCCTGGGGTGACAGACCTTTGAGCTCTGTGTCTGGATTTTGTATGGGTTAATGAGAATTCAAACTCAGGTCCCCTGGTGTGGCTGCAATTTACCCACTCAGCCATCTCCCTGTTCTGCAGTTTTTGTTGTTGACACAGTTTGATTTTTTGAGGCAAGTTCTCACTAATGTACTATGTTGCCCACGCTGTCTGTTTTGTAATCCTCTGTTTTAGCCTCCCGAGTGCTGCGATTACAGGTGAGGGCCGCCATGTCCAGCTTAAAAGCACGTTGACCATGTAGCTGGTTATAACAGAGGTGAGGCCAGAGGGGCGACTTCAGAGTCAGAATGGGGCATCTCTCTGCCTTGGCACCGTGCACATTTGGTGACAATCACTCTGTCATAGGAGTGGGCATGTCCTGTGCTGTAGGGCAGAGCTGAGGAGAGCTAGTTAGCAGCACCCAGCTTTTAGCCTGGTGCTTTTGTGTTGATGCTGTCGGACCTCTGAGCGATGGGACACGTAGGTTAGATTCTTGACTCACAGATAGGTTCCTGCAGTGGATTCCAACTGGGGCTCAAAAGGTATGAGGAGCACATCTGTTTCTCTTACTCCTAGATGAGGAGCCTGTAGCCTGCAGGCTGCACACTGGCAACTGGCACTCAGATCACCCTGAAAACAGATCCACCCTTCCCAGGGCTCCAGAAGAACACTGATTGTCCAGCCTGTGACCACTCCAGTGGCCAGCACCCCACTGAGGGTACATATGGACATACGGAATCTCAGAGAGGAGGGGCTGTGGGCCCAAGGGAGGGGTGCCGGAGGGTGAGCTTTAGGGAGCCACTCCCTGGCCCAGCGTTTTCACTGGAACTCATACCACATGCAGTGCCCACATCACCCACTCTACCAGATGCCAGTCTAAGACTGATCAGAAACCAGGAAACTGGTTCATTCTGGGGCACGTGTGGGGAAATCACAGACTTTTCCAATGAGCTACTTGCCCCAAGTAAGAACTGCCTCTAAAACGTTTCCCTATGTAACAGCTCGCTGCAGCCAGCATGGATGGAAACACTGTTCCGAAGCCTTGGGCTGGACTGATAGTCCCAACACAGACCCAGCATGTGCTCTGGGAATAAGACAAACACCCTCTCTGCCTCTGTGCTCACAGTGATACCAAACAAACACAGTGATTCGATTAGCAAGCGGGAGTCCTTGGGTCTGGACTCCACGACTGGACCTAGGTCTGGATAAAAACAGCAACAGAGCCACACACTGACTTCCTGGGGTGCTCATTTCACTTGTAGTTTATATATAGTTCAACAAATAGTCCCGACTCTCAAACCCGCCCCCTCTTCTAGGTCTCCAGCATGACAGACAAGGAAGGAATGCTTTCCCCAGTACAGAAGATCCAGGAGCTGATCCGCTGGCATGCCTGAGTGAAGCCTGCAGAAACAGAGCTTGCAAGGCCGGCACCAAAGCTGCCCAAGCTGGTCTGCCTTACAAGTGCGGCTCATCTTTTTCTGCCTGCTGAAGAGCCTTTTGATGATTGTGCATGAATTTTTTTTTTTTTAAATGCACGTGGTCTCAAAGGAGATGCTTTACAAACACAACAGCACACTCGGGGAAGTCAGAGGGAAATGGAAAAGATCTATCTGCCGAGGTTTGGATAACTACAAATAAAGTCAGCAGGTTGAATAAGAAAAGATCCAGCTTGTTTATGAATCGTCCCAGATTAAGATCTCAGTCCTGCAGATCAGCATACTTTAAGGAAAAACAGAAACCCACACAGCCGCGCAGGATATCAAACTCCATCACCAAGGAGATCTGGCCAGTAGCAGGGCTGGGGAAGAACAGTGTGAGCTCAGTGAGCTCCGCTCCTCACAGCTGGGCTCCTAAGACATTAATTCACCGATAACCTCATAAAGTTGTGTTTGTTCTCCCAAGACATAACATCAGCCAGAGCGCTCGGGGCTACGTCAAGCACAGGACATTGGACTGTGAGCAGAGCCCTTTTCCTGGCAAACACAGGAGGTCCTTGCATGTGGTCAGACACAGTGTTCTATTTGCCCAAGCCTTCCAGGGTACAGACCCCTGGTACGCTAGCAAAGAACCTTTATTTGCTTATTCTTAAAAAAAAATTACCCAACCAGCTCCCCGCCTTGCTAACACAGAAATGTTCATTTCTTAGGAAACCAAAGCTGAAATTCCACATCAAGCCAAAAGGATCTTAACACAAAGATCCCAGCATTATTATAAGGTTTTTGATTTTCATTTCGAGTTAAGCTAATGCATGTAAGGAGTAACATCCACCTTCAGAGTCTATTACACAGAAGCAGATTTTTTTTTTTTTTTAATGCAGACCCGGCACTCCTTGGCGAGGTTTACAAATGGGCGAGATTGGCTCGGCAAATGGAAGGTCTCTCAGTGCTGTTCCGGCCCAGTCACAGCAGACAGGCCACGCTGCCTCACGCTGCTTCCTTGCCTATAAACAGTGCCAGCGGCCAGCCTCTACCACACCAGAGCCTGCGCAGCAGGTGCTTCTGACCAACACCAGGGTGTGGGAAAGGGGCACAAGGACCACTGAAGCCACAAGGCCTTGCCAGGGACACCGGACTGTTTTGCTTTCATTAAAAGGTAGCTCTGTACCTGAATTATGTCTAACAGATATGGCAGCCCAGGGTCCTGATGGAATTCTGAGCGCATTACAGACAAGGGAGCTGAGATGGACAGTTTCTTGTTGCAACCCACGGGCTGCAGTTCATGATCACTCGAAAACAAAAACCCCAGCAAGTGTGCCACCTCTGACTTTATTAGCCACAAGTGCCAAGTTAACAAGCCAGCAATAAACCCCCCGTGGAAATAATGGTCTCAACAAGCAACTGCTGGAGGCGACAGTCAGGGTTCTAGCTGTAGCCCGTGCCCAGATCCCTAAGCTGGCTCTGGTTGAAGTCCAGCGCATCTGTAAGCTGCGCTCAGCATCAGTTTGGAGAATTGAAGTGCAGGCAGGGGACCCCGGCGCCCCCATCCCTCCCAGAAAGCAAGGTGCCCATTGTATGTTCAAAAGTTGCTGGTGTCTTCGGAAGGCCGGCTGGGGGACGTGTCCACGCCGCCCTATTTCAGAGTCAGCATTAGGTGGTGCAACCCCGGCATCACCCTTTGCTGTCCTGGGGGAGCCGCTGTCCCGAGTTAAGGTGAAGGTGCGTTCAGGTGTTGCCCTCCCGGCCCCAGGTCACCACCAGCGCTGCAGCCCTGGCTACTCACCCAGCAGCAGCCAGAGGCCGCGCCGCGGGAGGCCCCGCAGGCCCGGGGCCATGGCAAGCAGAGCCCCGCCGCCGCCGTCCCAGCGCCTTGCCGAGCTCTGCGCTCGCTGGAGACGCGCCGGGGGCGGGAGCTAGGGAGAGGCCGCGCCCGGCCCACTGCAGCTCCTACGCCCGCGGCTGTCGAGGGCGGAAGCTGGCGGGCGGCACCTGAGGCTGGAGTGCAGCTGGGACTGGAGGGGAACCTTCTGGAACGTCTGCGGGATGAACGGGCTGGGAGGGTCTCCAGGTCCGCAGACCGGGCACCTCCATCTACAGGGCTGGGTTCCGCAGTTATCCTGTGGTCTGCTCTGCAAACAGCCAGCTGTCCCGTCTCCTTTCCCGGTGGGGTGCCAGAGTGGTGGGGGCAAAACCAGCCCTGGCAACATCTGTAGGTGTTGGGGCCTCAAAGGATGGCCAGTGGGAACAAGGTTCCTTGGAGGGACAAAGGTGTGCTTGTCAGCAGGTGGTGATAGGCCAGGGTAGGGCAGCAGAGTCCATACATACTGAACTTAGAGACAAAAGGATTGCCAGGTAGAAAGGTGACAGACTTCCTTCGGGGTTTGCTATGAGACACGCACACAGAATGGACCAGTAGCGGGAGTTAATATAAGCAAGACAGGCTGTGTGACGCTGGCATGCCGGGAAACCTGGGGCAGATGCCCGAAGTGCAGGGTAGGGCCTGACCCGGAGAGGGAGCAGCCTGCACTCGCAAGACTTCACTGGTGGCTGCACTGCACGCTGCAGCCCAGCAGGTTATCACTGGCCCCATGTAATGGCAGGGGCCTCTCGTAGGGCCGGCCCTGCTGCAATACCGCTGGTCCAGCGTGCAGCAGAGGAAGGGACAGGGCTAGGGGCTGCTGCCACCTTCTGGCCAAGTGGTCAGGACCTTTAACAGCAAGCTGGTACTTGTCCTGAACACAGACCACACAGACATTTGGGATCTGCTTACCTATGACTTGGAGGACCCCAGTGTCCTAAAGTAAGGTGACATGGAAAAGGGAACACATTCTTTTGGGTTGTCTGGCCCCTCATTTTGAACCTTATAAAGTACCTACTAGGAGGCCAGCGCCTGTCATTGATTGACATGGCTTTACTCCCAATTCAGTGCTTGGGAACTTCAGAGCCCTGCCTTGTAGTAATGAATCTGGTGGGAAGCTCTTATTTTCATGTCTACAGCTGAGAATCTAGGCTATGAGGTTCCCCAGTAATTGGCCGCGAGTTTCTCCCAGCTCACACATACAGTAGCAACTCTTTGATGTCTGGCCCTAGTGAGAATGCCCTGTGACCACAGGTTGGTCCCTCCAAGTCCACGGGATTTTCTCACACTTCTAACTGGTAACTGGGAGCATCCGATTCCCTCCCCCCACGGAAGGCCATGTACTGACACTAGGTTAAACAGCAGCAGAGGAAGAGGGGCCGTTGATGCCGTTAACGGTGGAAGTGAGCCAGTCTACAGGTTGGTACCACATCTTCAGTGGACACAGTTCCCGCTTGCACACTGCAGAGCAACTACACCTCAGCAATTGCCACGGTGGACCGAGCAGCGAGCTCCGAGAATAGGAAATCAGGGCAGCCTGGGACTGCCTACTTTCCAGACCACAGTAGAGAGAGGAAAGCCAGGGTCCAGGGAACCAATCTAAGTAACAGAAAGGAGACTGCTGTGAGGACACAACCGAGAGGTCCAGAGTGCAGGCTTCACACCTGTCTGTAGAGGGGAGGGAAGAACCAGACCTCGCACAAGTCTGGAACTGCCTGCTTCCCACCACTGTAGAGGGAAACAAAGGGTCCACAGAGCAGCAGCGACGAGCAGAGCAGCGCTGCCTCAGGCATCGGGATGAACAGAGACGCTGCTCTAAGCACAACCTGATGGGGCTTGACAGCAAGCAAGACCACGCAGCGCACGGCTCCATGTAACCACTATAGCCGAAACAGGATCATACAATAAAAGGACAAAACACCAGAGAAATGTGGCTCCACTTTGAGTGGCCTGGAAAAAGAGTGTGAAATACACCCATGGGGCTATAAACCCAAAATATCAACAGCACCCAAACACAAGAATCCTGAGGAAAATGCAGTAAGGGACAGCACAGGCAATTGTGTGACACCAGTGACAGAGGAAACCTCAACAGCAGCCAGGGAAAGGGACGCAGCAAAAAAAGGGGACAGCTGCAGGCACAGGTGGGAAGGGCACCCACCAGCTGCTCTGAGGCTGCCATTCTCCATGGGAGGCCACACCCCGGCCACTGCTGCTACAAGTCGGTAGTTCTAAAGCACAGCTAGATAAGGACCAGCAGAAGGCATCAGGAGCACTCAGCTTCAAGCATCAGTTTGTCAAGCATCCCAAGGGAGCTGCTGTTACAACCCAAACACTCAGGGCTTGCAAGAAGCTTAGAACTTTACTCCCTCAAATGCCCTCAAGGGAAAAGCACACAAAACCCCAAGAAGTAAACTGTCCATTTGACAGACTATAATGTGCTGCACATCACAGGGACAACTCAAGAGCGGCAAAGTAAGGAATCACAAGCTCTGTTCAGAGCACAGCCCACCCTTTACCAGCCACACAGCAGAGAGCAGGGACAGACAG